TCGAGCTCTTCCAATCCCTGGGGGTCCCCGCCTCCCCCAAAAAGACTGAAGGACCCTACACGTTACTGGGTATCACGCTAGATTCTGTCAATATGCAAGCCAGCTTGCTTAGAGAGAAGATTGATCGCATTCTATCCAGCATTGGTCTATATATCTCTGCAGGATCATGTAATTGTACATAATTACAGTCTCTACTAGGCACCCTTAACATTGCCATGAAAATGATCCCACAGGGCTGGGCTTTTATATCTAGACTGCTCAACCTGTTTTCCCACTTTCAGTCTGATATTTCCCGTATTTCACTGGATGTTCCCGCTACCTCGGATTTACACATGTGGCAGGAATTGTGAGGTGGAATGGGAAAAGCATGTTTATCCCTTTACTTACCTTTGATTCCCTTACTATTTTAGAGATGCAGCTGCCACCTCAGGCTTTTCTGCTATTGTTGGTGATAATTGGCTATGGGGGGTTTGGCCTATTGAAGTGCACAATATACCAGGTTTTACTACCACTTCTACTCTGTTCAAGCTCTATCCTCTTGTAGCTGCTGCAGTGGCGTGGGGAGCAGCATGGTCTCAGGTCAGGCGGTAAGATGTTTTTTGGACAACTTAGCCACCTGCCACATAATTAACAAGGGTCGTTCTAAATCTCTGATCATCATGAGCTTTCTGAGGAAATTGACTTGGTTGGCTGCTAACTATAATTTATTTTTGGTATGTGTCCATATTCCTGGTATTAAGAACATAGCAGCTGATCATTTATCTCGCTCTCAATTTCAGGAATTCCACAACACCTTACCGACGGCAGCCTTGGTGGCTATCCCAGCTCCGTCATGACAGGACATGACATTAGATTTGGAGATCTGTTAACTCATGGCAGGATCCTTTCGCAATTGGCAATTATCTTACACCAGCATCAAATTATATCTGACAGGGATACAACACCATATATTTACACATTGGCCAAACAACCACCGTTTCTTGTATTCTTATCAAATCAAAACCATACTAAAAGGCATTAAGAATTCGAACCCTACCAGTGGCCCTGTAGGCTATTGCATGGCCACAGCGCTGACCGGGCCCCTGAAGATACAGGGCCCATCAGGTGGCCCTAACTGCACCAGATTAGGCCTTAATCCATCCAACTACTCAGGACTCTCCTTCCGCATTGGAGCAGCCACCACTGCTTCCAGTAGGGACATACCGGTACAGATTATCAAGACATTGGGACGGTGGAATTCATATTCATATACTAGATACATACCCCAACCAATACAGGAAATACGCGAAGCTTTTTGTAACATGAACATGTGATATGTGGTATATGATTGTCAAATCATTGTCTTTGGAAAGAGTTCAGCGAAGGGCTACTATACTGGTTCATGGATTGCTGAAAATAAATAAATAAATAAATAAAAACTTACAAGGAAAGGTTAAAGAATGTTAATATGTATAGCTTGGAGGAAAGACGAGACAGGGGGGATATGATAGAAACATTTAAATACATAAATGGAATCAACACAATAAAGGAGGAGACTATATTTAAAAGAAGAAAAACTACCACAACAAGATGACATAACCTTAAATTAGAGGTGCAAAGGTTTAAAGATAATATAAGGAAGTATTACTTTACAGAGAGGGTAGTGGACAAATGGAATAGCCTTCCAGCTGAAGTGGTAGAGGTTAACACAGTGAGGGAGTTTAAGCATGCATGGGATAGGCGTAAGGCTATCCTAAACTTAAGATAAGGCCAGGAACTAATGAAAGTATTTTAAAAATTGGACAGACTAGATGGGCCGAATGGTTCTTATCTGCCGTCACGTTTCTATGTTTCTAAATTGTAGGCTGAAATAAATCTTGTTTGGTATACTCGTTTTTGCCCTCTTTTATTACAGGCCTACTGCATTGACGGTTTCGGCACACCACAACTGACTGTTCATATTTTCTATCTGGTTTATATTGTATAAGTTATATACTGTCATTATGGCTTTTATGCCCTGAACACAAATAAAATTATATATATATATAATCAAGATGGCTGCACTCACACTAACAATCCATGTTAATTCCATGTTGTGAGGCAACAAAAACACGAAAAAATGCCAAGGGGGGTTAATACTTTTGCAAGGCCATGTATATAAATGAAACCAAGATGGCTGCACTCACCTGAACATACATACATCATGGGGTGCTGCTGGGGCCAAAATATACAAAATATACAATCCAACACACTCGCTTATTCACTAAACAATTATTTCAAATCTTACAGATTGTAGTAGTTTTATTTAAAAACACCTCATCTAGGCAAAAAATTGTTGACAGGTCCTACTCTAGCAGCCTAATGCTTGCTCTTATGAGATTAATCTACTTACTTGGGAAATACTGGGACTCTCTGCAAGTCTTGGCTAAATAGGGCCCTGGAATGAGGCACCTGTGACATGGAGGGGTGCAAAATTAAGGAGTTGGCCTGGACTCCCAAATACAGTGCCTTGCAAAAGTATTCACCCCCTTGTCAATTCACCTTGAGGAAAGCCCCGGACGAGGGCTGAAACGTCGGTGTGATGATTTTTTGGATATGCCTTGAATAAAGAACAAACCTTTTATATTTCAAGTCTGTGAGTGCAAGCCGCTTTTGTACATGTATAATTTTTGGCTTTGGCTTTAAAGCACCCGGCCTTTAAAATTTATCGTGAAGCCTGAGTGCAAGGATACAAGCATCTTGTATTTTTAAAAATATATATATTATTTTGTAAGTCACTTTTTATTTAGTATTTTTACAATAATTGACAGTTGGCAACATTCAACAGTGTAGCGAGCAAGATACAGATCAAAACACCAGTGCAATAACAGGACTGTACTCTACATGTTTATCTACAAGACCAGGTACCGGTTTATCCAGACAGACTAGTAATAACATTTTATAACAATACAAGCAGTTGACGTGCAAATATCCAGGTAGGTTTGGCTACATCCTGAGGAACTGAAAATAAGTTCCTCCATATGCTGGATCCTCCACATTTTCATAAAGGGATGAGCCCCCTGGCTACATTCAAGATGCAAATTATTGGGGATTTTTTGTATATCGACGACCGTACAGTCATGTGATAAAGCCAGATTTAAAAAGTTTTTTTTCCAAATATCAACACAAGTCTTACATTTCATTAAATGTAATAAATGTTTTAAAAAAACGAGAAGTGAAAATTTGATGACAGTTATCCTTTATTGAAACTTATCTTCCTTCCAGGGCCACGCTTGATGAACTTTATCCAATCAAACTTTTTATACAGAAGCACTGTGGCGATGCAGCACATGAGAACCAATCACCAACAGCGGCCATCCCAATGCTTCTCTCTGAGAAGCATTAAATTCTCACCCATCATCTAGCATCAGCATAGATGCAGGCTGACACTAGACTTAAAACATGTTGTCAGCCACAAGGGGTGTGGGCAGGGCCAAATTAAGAGCCCATTGTGCCTGGTGCTGACAATTATGATGAGCCTAATTACAGAATGTTATCGACAGAAAACACTATAACAGTCATACCTTCCTAGCGTCATGTACCTGGCTTAGCTAGTGCTGGAGGGAAACATAGGATGTAACTATAAGAAAACACATACCCTATGCTAATCTCTAGCTTTCATATTTTAAGTACATCCATACCTCCTAAAAGCAGTGTCCTATAAAGCAGTATGTCAGTGGGAGGTGACCGTCTGAAGGACCGTCTGAAGGGACAAACATGCTCAAAAGGGGGAGTGTATGCAGAAAGAATTATAAGGTCAGTCTGGCGTGAATGCATGTCAGGATGCTTGCTAATAATGAGGGCTGGCCAACTAAGGGCATACTATGCAGGCAGCACCACGAGCTTGTCATGCGCCCACTCCAAGCTCCAGAAACGGCACTGATTTTAACAGCAAGGCTGCAGGAGCAGCATAAATTCACCAAAATCACCTAATTAAAGGAAAACTGTATTGTTATAAGTAAAATGTTTCTGTATAATGCTGGAGTGTTGGTTTATCTTTTTGGCCCCTTGCTCCCCCAATTCTTGTAATATAATTAAGGGAAAATGTAAGAGATATTGTTAGAAAATGTGATAAGCTCTCCTTGTCTGCACTCTGTTCTAAGGTACACAATAGAGACACAAGTGTTTTACGTTATTTAGGTATCCACTTGGTATATAGTACATGGAGGGGGGTAACGTTAGTCAGGACCTATTAAAACTGGAAATGTTTTAGATATTTACTTTAAAAACATTATCCCCTCAAGGACTGAATACAGAAATGGAGCTGGTAGGCTAAATTTAATTTAAAAATAATATTAGAGTCAGGGTAGATAGGATTTTAACTTTATTATAATTTTATTTTTAATGGAGGATTATGATAATTTTTTTATTGTTCTTATGTTACAATTAAATTTTGTTTATTATCATTACTATTATTTTAATTGTAAATGAATAGGAATGTTGCATTATATTGCTAAACTTATTTATTTTTAATGTAACCTCTTTATATATTCCAGAGATATGTATTTTGTGTACGTGTACATGGTAATTGTAAAGAAACCAACTCATTGTATACATTTTCACAGAAATGTTTTTTATACGAATAATGTTACTAAATTATTATGTATGTTGTTATATATATATATATATATATATTTAACTCTTGTCAGTCCACAAAGTCAAAGGGCTCTTTTGTTAGCCCTTAGAAATTGCTGACTGTTTCTTTAATGCACAGTAATAATAGACACTGTATATGAAGAACTGATACTGGCCACTCTTTGTCTTTGTTGATTTAGTGTGGCAAGTATTAGCCTGTGCACAACATTAAATATATACTATAGGTACCAAAATTTTTTTTAAAGAATCTTTAAAGATTCTTGTGACATAGAAAGGGGTAAGACATTGGTAGCCATATGTAAAGCCCCCCAGCAGCTGTTGAGTTACAAGTACACCACAACAAGAGGACATACCACAACAAGAAGGCATAGTTTTAAATTAGAGGGGCAAAGGTTTAAAAATAATATCAGGAAGTATTACTTTACTGAGAGGGTAGTGGATGCATGGAAAAGCCTTCCAGCTGAAGTGGTAGATGTTAACACAGTAAAAGAGTTTAAGTATGTGTGGGATATGCATAAGGCTATCCTAACTATAAGATAAGACCAGGGACTAATGAAAGTATTTAGAAAATTGGGCAGACTAGATGGGCCGAATGGTTCTTATCTGCCGTCACATTCTATGCTTCTATGTTTCTATGTATCTTCATGATTTGCCAGCCTAATACTGGCAGGGCATAATGTGAGTTGCAGTTAGTCCATCTCTGGCTTATTAAACATTGTGTCTTCCCTGCCTTGGGCCAGCCTGGCCTTAATTGCTACCAGATGTACTAGAGCCATCATTTATAACTTAGACTTGTATCTACCTGCCGGGGAGGCAGAGCTGGGCCCAGGGCTGTCATTTACAGGTACAGATCCAGAAGCCAATTTCGGTCACATTTTGCTGAACTTAAAATATGTGACTAATATTTTAGCTAACTAATTGTCAGTGTTTCAGTATTTGTACAGCCCAGAGCTAGCTATTAGGGTCGATGCTTCAGGTTATGGTTTCTGAGTCTAGGTTGAGAAATGTCATAGTCTTGAGTCTAGCTGTCATGGCAGGGTTTTTTAATGGTTTGACCAAAACTATTGTTGTGTGATTAGGATGGTGTACTATTATGTTGTTTATAAATTCAGATCAATGGCCATTCTCTCAATAATAATATATAAAAAGGAATAAGAACAATATGCTGTTCAATTTCCTACTACAATAAACACCATTTTGGGGCAGTTGCCTGGGGTCTTATGAGTATTTTGTTTGTTTTTGTGCTTCAATTAAGAGGAAAAAATAACATTTTAATAATTTGGATGCAAATTTAAACAGTATTATTGCTTTAAATGATCTGTCACTTCCAGTGGTCATTGCATATTTTGCAAAGATCTTGGAAGGTAATTTTTCTGCTCAGGGTCCGTGCTGTGGAAGTTATGTATAGATACCAGAAGTTGTCCTACATGGCCGCCACCATCTTCTGCTATGGGACCATCTTCAGTGCCTGGTGCTTCATCTGCAGTTCCCTTGCTTAGAAGTTTTTTTTTATAAAATTCGCCTGTCTTCCTTGGCCTATGGCCATTGTAGCCCTGGTTTTGGCCTGCCTCATACCCTCTCTGGAGTAGCACCAAGTGTCACATTTCTAGTCCAGTTTTACAGGTCTGGTGGTGTCAGGTAAACTCACTACTTTTCCCCTCCCCCTGTACAGAGACAGAAAGTCTGGAGAATTTACAACCACTATTGTCATCCTCCATGGTGCTGTTTACATGTGCCATGTTCTCTTTCATATATAGTTAGGTTAACCCCTTGTGGCCTTTTATAAAGTCAGAACAGTTTGAAGCATGTAAATAACCCTTCACTGGGAAACCAGATCTATTAACTACCAGATTTGTATACATACATACATACCAAAATCTATTATTACTATATTACATCCAGTATATCGTAACCATATTATTATACAGAAATACAGTTAAAATAGCGAGATAGGAAATAGTGATTTCCTACATCCTGTAACCTAGAACTAGTGTATGTATAGGTAGCAATCACCTGGGAATTTAGATTTAAAGGCCGAGGATGCTGAAATACGAGGTACCATTGGTAATCTTGAAAACATATCCACCATAGAATGAAAACTGTGACGTCTCTATTTAATTGCTGGTTGTTAGCTGCAAGCTGAAGTTGCATAACGCTGAAGTCGAGGTGCTGTGTTTGAGTTACCCTGCTAAGAGTGTAAAATGGACAATAGTCATCCTTGATCAGAGTGAAAGGTCTGTCATGAATAGAAATGGGACAGGTTATTGCTTAGGCTTCTTGATCAATCTGGGCATAATTGTTCTCAGCCTGCATTAGAGTTCTGAAAGTAAAAGACACAGGATGTTCAGAACCATCAGGCATAATGCATGAAAATAGTGCACACAAACCATATGGCAAAGCATCACCATAGGCGTGCGCAGCCTATTGCATTAGGGTGTGCACCCTAAAGCACAAGCACATGCCGCATATATATATATGTATGTATGTATATACATAAACATATATACACACATACACACACTGCTGTGTGTGTGTGTGTGCTGTGTGAGGGTGCTGTTAGTGTGATGTGTGTGTGACGATGCTGGTAGTGTGCTATGTGGGTGAGGGTGTTTGTGTGTGCGTGCTTGTGAGGATGCTGTTAATGTACTGTGTGTGAGGGTGCTGTTTGTGTGTGCACTTGTGAGGGTGCTGTTTGTGTGTGAGGGTGCTGTTTGTGTGTGAGGGTACTGGTAGTGTGCTGTGTGTGTGTTTGTTAGGGTCCTGTTTGTGTTTGTAAGGGTACTGTTAGTGTGCTGTGTGTGTGTGAGGGTGCTGTGTGTGTTTGTGAGCGTGTGAGGGTGCTGTATGTGTGTTGGTGCTGTGTATGTCTGTGGGTGCTGTATGTGTGTGGGTGCTTTGTGTGTCTGTGGGTGCTGTGTGTCTGTGGGTGCTGTATGTGTGTGGGTGCTGTATGTGTGTGGGTGCTGTGTGTGTCTGTGGGTGCTGTGTGTGTCTGTGGGTGCTGTGTATGTCTGTGGGTGCTGTGTATGTTTGTGGGTGCTGTGTATGTCTGTGGGTGCTGGATGTTCAGGCGCTGAATGTGTGGGTGCTGACCGTGTGGGTGCTGTGTATGTCTGTGGGTGCTGTGTATGTCTATAAGGGATGTCTGTGGGTGCTGTGTATGTCTGTAAGTGCTATATGTCTGTGGTGCTGTATGTCTGTGGATGCGAATGTGTGGGTGCTGAATGTGTGTGGGGTGCTGTGTATGTCTGTGGGTGCTGAATGTGGGTGCTGTATGTGTGTGGGTGCTGTGTATGTCTGTGAGTGCTGTGTGTGTCTGTGGGTGCTGTATGTGTGTGGGTGCTGTGTATGTCTGTTGGTGCTGTGTATGTCTGTGGGTGCTGTGTATGTCTGCGGGTGCTGTGTATGTCTGCGGGTGCTGTGTATGTTTGTGGGTGCTGAATGTGTGTGGGTGCTGTGTATGTCTGTGGGTGCTGTATGTGTGTGGGTGCTGTTTATGTCTGTGGGTTCTGTTTATGTCTGTGGGCGCTGTGTATGTCTGTGGGCGCTGTGTATGTCTGTGGGCGCTGTATGTGTGTGGGCGCTGTATGTGTGGGTGCTGTATGTCTGTGGGTGCTGTATGTGTGTGGGTGATGTATGTCTGTGGGTGCTGTGTGGGTGCTGTATGTGTGTGGGTGCTGTATGTCTGTGGGTGCTGTGTGGGTGCTGTAGCGTCTGTGGGTGCTGTGTATGTTCAGGTGCTGAATGTGTGTGGGTGCTGAATGTGTGTGGGTGCTGTAATGCGGTGTGTGCTGTGTGTGTGTGCTGTATGTGTGGGTGCTGTATGTGTGTTGGTGCTGTGTATGTCTGTGGGTGCTGTATGTGTGTGGGTGCCGTGTATGTCTGTGGGTGCTGTATGTCTGTGGGTGCTGTGTATGTCTGTGGGTGCTGTGTATGGGTGCTGTATGTGTGTGGGTGCTGTGTATGTCTGTGGGTGCTGAATGTGTTTGGGTGCTGAATGTGTTTGGGTGCTGAATGTGTTTGGGTGCTGTGTATGTCTGTGTGTGCTGTGTATGTCTGTGGGTGCTGTATGTCTGTGTGTGCTGTGTATGTCTGTGGGTGCTGTGTATGTCTGTGGGTGCTGTGTATGTCTGTGGGTGCTGAATGTGTGTGGGTGCTGTGTGGGTGCTGTATGTCTGTGGGTGCTGTGTATGTTTGTGGGTGCTGTATGTCTGTGGGTGCTGAATGTGTGTGTTGTGTGTGTGTGTGCTGTATGTGTGTGGGTGGGTGATTGTGGGGGGTGGAGGTGGGGGTACATTATTTGCTATCCCCCCTCCCTTCTTACCTTTTGTAGGGAGGGGAGATCGTGCTGCTGCTTCCTTCCCTGGTGGTCCAGTGAAGGAGGGGATCCTTTCTGCTGTGATCCCTGGTGGTCCAGTGGAGAGTGAACTCTAACCCCTGTGGGGCTAGAGTTCACTCTCGCGAGATTTGAGCGTTGCAGCGGCAACGCTCATATCTCGCGAGAGGAACCCGGCGGAGCTGCCGGCAGGAGCTCCGCCGGGTCCTCTCCTGCCTCCCTCCCTGCATGTGGGTCAGTGGGGAGGGAGGCTGAGAGCAGAGCCGGCGCTCGGATAGTGCCGGCTCTGCCTGAGCCGACAGGGGAGATCCTGAGATCTCCCCTGCCGGTCTCAATATGCATAGGCGTGCCGCGGGATTAGGGTGTGCCCAGGCACACCCGGCACACCCCATGCGCACGCCTATGAGCATCACAGACTAATACCAAGGGCTTCTGATAGGGATACTATAATGCAAGGAACACAAATCTGTATTCCTTACACTATAGCTCCCTCTGCCCCCCTTCCTCCCCTCACCCTGACCGGTGCTGCAAACACTTTGAATTACTCACCCGATTCAAGCACCGATCTCCCTTGGTGCTAGTGTTGTGCTCCGCCTCCACCTATGTCACCTAACAGTGGGGCTAATTTGCATGCACTGCAAACGCTGCAAAGGCACTAGGCCCTCCTTATGGGAAAGAATTGTTGCAAAGCTTTCCTATGGGCATTTAACAGATGCGGGATGCCCTCGTCCAGCAACATTTGCCAAAAGTCACCTAGCAAGCAGGAAGTGCCTCGAGTGGCTGTTTGATTGACAGCTGCTAGAGGCAGTCATAGTCCTGCAATGTAATCATTGCAGTTTCTCTATAACTGCCATGATTTAGATTGCAAGACTAAGGGGAAAGCTTTGATCCAGGATTTACTGAACAATGGTGGTCCTGCTTTAGGTACAACATAGAGTTGTAGTAGTTTAGTTATACCATTAAATGTCAGGGTTGGATAATACACACCCAGCAGGTAATAATTTATTATATGTTGGCATGGTGACAGCTGTTGGAGGCTCTAGTCCAGTCTGTCTCAATCAACAGATGCTCTTGTATCTGTAGTGAGAGGTTTACCAACTACATAAACCTTTGCTTGCAGTTCTGGAATTGTCTTTTCAAGTCTGTAGATTTATAATTTGCACAATGGAATGTCTTCATCAGAATAGGTGTGTGGTTTATCCACTGTAGCATGAAAAGTTGAGCATGACTTTCTCAGGTAAACTTCTGCAAATGCTTTTTGTATGACCAATCTTTCCACAGCTGTAGCAGGTGCTATTCTCAAAATTTGTAATAATCTTCTGTCATGACATCTCTAGCACACTGTCTGAGGCACTTGTTATCAATTTGGATATAGCTTTTTTAGGTACATATTGGTATGAAAAATATCCACATCTTCCATATCACAAGCATCCATACA